TGATACCATATGGAGAGTTGTTAAATTCTGACTTCTCACTTTATTTCATAATGAATTGTTGAATATATACAACATCTACATATCTATATTAGGACAACTATTAACTACACATAAATAGGTATTATTATTAGGTTCTGATTTATAGGAAAAGATATCTGATTTTCTGTTTTTACTCCCAACAAATCAGCTTCAAATCTACCTTAATTACTTCAGAATCTTCAACAGGATGGATTGTAAACAAAATGGGCCTTGCTTCAAATTCCATAAGAGTGGTCATGCTTCATCATAAGCTTAAGCTATAGCTGTCATGATTGATTTTTCTACTCTTTGGTAGTAATTGAATTCAATGTCAATTATAATCTGTTTTAGTTATCTTTTATGGATGTGATGCCCACCACATGGTAGCATTAACATGTTTGCTTGATGAAGAGAAAGGCTGACATTTTGTTGTACAATGTCATAGTCATTTTGCTTTCAGATAAACTCCGTTTGCATTGGATAAAATGATTTACAACATGGAATTTTGATTGCTTCAAATTTAGCTGCAATGGACCAGCTCTATGGATTAAAGAGTTATGCTTTGCTCTTGGATGGTCTTATTGACAAAAGAGAAGTTTTGTGTGCATAATGGTTGTTACATGCATGTTTCTTCAATAGTTTACTTTTTGATAACGCATGCCAGTTGAAACATGTAGGATCATCATTCCTGTCTTCCATCTTTTTCTTTCTTCTTTCTTCTTTCTTCTTCTTCTTCTTCTTTTTTTTTTTTTTGGCGGGGAAGCACTCTAAATGTAGACAAATGACATAGCCAGCCCAGGGATATCTTATTAATCATCTCTGTGAATTTCCATGCAAATTAGATCTACAGGCTGACTTTCTCAAATTTTCCGTATACTTCTAATGCACTTCTAATATTTTGTGTTCTTTTTAGGTGGTACATTTTCGAAGAAACTGCACTATGCATTTGGACTGGCATCTTGTACATCACATACTTGAAGGCTAACATCTCAAGAGCTTGGTACAGTATAGTTTTTGAAGTCCTTTCTGTTTTTGCTTCACTGTTTCTGTTACTTTCATTGAAAGGCCCTGGTGCCTTGCTAAAAAAGATAGGAGAAAAGGGATAGAGGAGTCATCAAGCTTTATGATCATGCTGGTGCCAGTGGTTTCAATGATGAAAATTTAACTTAGCAACACATATGATCAGCTTTTACGTCCCCTGCAGCTTAATATTTAATCTAAATTATGCTGTACTGTCAGGTGGAAGGATGTGATTATGATCTTGCTATTGGTTACTTTGTCATTTGCCTTGATCTTTCTCCTGCTGCTCCTCATTTTCCATAGGTAAGTGTTTACATTCACTCAGTACATTGTTTCCCACATGAGATTCTTAGAAACATGGTTTCTGAGCAGTTTCGCTGCTTTTTTGTCATGTGTATGTTTACTCTAAATGCCACAAGAGTAACTAGAATATCCCGTTTGTTGTTTCTGGTGTTTCTAGTGACCTGACTTAGTTATCCTAATGTCATATTAGTTCGTTTTCTAACGCTTTCTGTGATGATATCATTTTGATGGGTGGGAAAGTTTTAACAGAAAAGTAGGAGCATGGAATTAACTTGACCATTTTAAGAATAAATCTGAATACCACTTGAAAAGGAAATGGCCAGCTCCAAAAAATGATTAGTTGGCTCATCTTTTTTCTTACAATAGTGCTTGTCCTGTTTGCTAATTGAGACCAGTAAACGATCCATTGTTCACTAGGTTCTGAGGGGAGAAAAAGAAAATCTTCCCTAGTTAAGCTTCTAAAGCTCAATCCCAATGGGACCAAGGAATAGTTACTCATGCTGTAAAGATCATGCAAAAGCTGACAAGGAATTGGAAATGATATCCAGTTGCAGCTTGCCAGTATGAAAGGGAAAAGCTGGAGTCAGATTATTGCTTAATTCACGTTTGCACTTGTTTTTTGCTTCTGAAGTTCCACTGACAATGGCAGAAAACAACTGGCCTTACACCCAATAAATAGATTAAGATCATAAAAATCGCTTACTTGCATGAAATACATCTAGCCTGCTTTAGCATGATTAATTAACTTCATGATTTTTGATGCAGCTATCTTATTCTGACAAATCAAACTACCTATGAACTCATAAGACGTAGACGCATTCCATATCTAAGGTTTGCTAGCACTCTTAAATCTTGTGTTTTTAACCATTTGTTTAGTGTTGGATCTGTAGTTACTGATCAACAAAATATATCAAATCAAACCACATGCTGGGCTCATTTATGGGCATTCACTTTGCATTATTTGGTGCCAGCCTTCTATTGGATGGTGCTTAGGGCATCGTATTTTACTGGGAAAAGCAAATATGATTTGACCATTATTTATATGCTGATTTATTAGTCCACCAACTTTCATTGATATGCAGAGGAATTCCTGAACGAGTGTATCCATTCAGTGAAGGAGTTTGCAGAAATTTATACAAATTTTGTTGTGCTCGAAGCAGCATATACAGTTTGGAAAGATTACCCACGGCCATGGAACTTGAAGACAAGTCAAGACCATACACATGCTTAGGTTTTTTGACCTGCCGTTGTTGCTGAGGTTGTGAGGGCATTGTGATATTAATGAAAACATTTTGCCTCCAAATTTGTTTTTGGATCTCCATGTGAATGTGTGCCTGAGCATCCAGTTGTTTTAGCTACAGAATATGGCAGCACGGATGGTTAAGTTGGAGCCCTTTGTGGGCCTTTAGGTTTTTGTAGTCTGAATTGGATGTTGATTGTAATGTTTGTTTGATGGAGATTTTCAGAATTGTTTGTGTACTGATTTTTCGAATTCAAATTGCCATGTAAAGCAAAAAAGAAAAAGAAAAAAGGGAGTTGGATTCCGAGTGCAGCTGATAGCAGCCTCCCTGTCTACTTTACATAAATGTTTGTCAAATAAATGTCTGTTGGTGCATTCACTGTTTAGATGGGTTTGGATCATGCATCTGGTCTTTCCATCACTGTTAGTATTTATTGCCATTTCTTGATTCAGTTAGGGGTAACCAAGCATCTTGAGGATCAAACTTTGTTAAGCGAAGAGCTTTTCTCACTGGACTCCCCAAAGGAGTATTATATCTTGGAGACACAGAGGGTTCTCGGGCGTCTCTTTATTTTAGGTTCCTATGGCGGTCCAGACAAAGATGGGGAGTTATCTAGAGAGGGTGGACAGAAAAACTATAGTTATTAAATTTAGTCCGGCTATCAAGTTATATGGATTTACTTGTATTAATTTAAGTATTTTTTAAAATATTTGAGATTTTACTAATTTATATGAAAAAAATAAAAAATAATTTATATAAATATATATTATACATATCTATCCCTTATAAAAAAATTAAAAAATAATTTATGTGAATATAAGTTATATATAGCTATTATACATTAAAAAGTTAAAAAAACATTATACTTGGATGTGGGTTATTTATTAATCATCTTACATTGAAAAGTTTAGAAATAATTTTTGTAAATATAAACTATATATATAACTATCATACATTAAAAAGTTAAAAAAACAATTGATGTAGATATAAATTATACAAAAATTCCAAGTTTAAGTATTTATAAATTTATTATATATTTTTGGGTTTATTAAAAAATATAAAACAAAAAGTCAGGTCTAACTCAGATTTCAGGTTAACCTGAAGTGTTGCCTGGGTTTGATCTAATAAATTATAAACCTGAATTTTATCTATTTAAAACTTAGCTATGACTATATATCTTGGGTCAACCTTTCATGCCGGCCGAGTTTATAACAATGCAAAAAACTTGTGGTGCATTGGTTTCTGGACCTGGCATTGCGGGAGCTGCAATCATCTCAATTGCCTCACTCATCTTTAATAGTTTCTTTTTCTGGAAGTATCTATCAATCTATCTTTCTTTTGAAGCTTTCAACTGAAACCTCTTGAAGTGTGAGCTAATTATCTTTGTTTGTTTGTGCCCCTAGTGTTGGGAAATTTCAACACAAATAATATCTTGGTACAGAAGGAGAGGAAGACTCGCAAATGGTTGTAGTGAGCTTGTTTCGAGTAATTATTTTAATTTAAAAATTTAAGTTTTTGAATAAGATTTTAAAATATAATTTATATTATTTTTAATATTTTTTTAATTACAAGAATTTTAGATTTAAAAATTAGATAAATTTATATTATTTTATATTTAATTTTTATCAAATAAATAAGAATCATGAAATTTGAATTCATGATCCCTTGATCTTTAAAATTTTAATAAAATATTAAACAATTATCTTAACTTAAAAACTTAAACTTATAAATAAAATTTTAAAATATAATTTATAATTATCTTAACTTAAATATAATTTATATTATTTTATAATAACTTGTAACGATGTCATGGAAAATGCAATCACTTGTAAATAGGTGCCAGCAATCTTGTTAGTGGTATGAACCAGTTGACGAAGTGAGTTCATAGAGAGATTTAATAATGAATCCTGCTAAGCCGGAGACTGATTTGTCATTCTATGGGAGGAGGAGCTACGAAGTGTAGCAAGTCCTGCCAAAATGAAAAGGATCCATCAGGGAAAGCCCTAGCATTAAAGTTGTGGGCACTGAGAAGATTGAAAGCAACAATGAAAGTTCTGTTCGAAAGTCAAAACTGCAGGTTGCTTGACAAATTTGGCTATCGGTAGCGTCCACAACGAAACATAAAGATTGCGAAAGGTAGCTCGCTGCATCAATTTTGCACCAACCCTGACTGAAGAAAAGGGCAGCTTAATTATGCAAGTTCTTATTTTAGTTTGACCCTGCTACTGCATTTTCTTAATTTATTCATGTCTCCCAAAGGGTTCTGTGTTTTACTTCTGTCTTGAAAATTTCTGTATCCTTCAATCATGAGTATCCCTGAAGTTTCTTCCTCTGGACCCCTTTCCATTGCCCTCTTTAGCTATGCTTACAATTCCTGGATTACCCGTGCTTGTTTAGGATTTATTATTTATATAAAATTTTTAAGACATTAAAAATTTTGATAAGTTGATAAAATGACATTCCTTTCATTCTCTCTTTTCCTGGCTTTTCTTTTCTCTACTTTTAATTCTTGACTTCTTTCTTTTATTTTTTAGCTTTTTTTATATTGAGCCTTTACTTTTTAGTTAGGAAACTAAGCCCATCCTAACCTATTTCATTGAGTGTGTGTGTTTTTTTATTTTTTATTATTATTTATGTTGGATAATCTTATTCTTATGTGTGTGTTGTGTGTGTGCGTATTTTTATTTATTTATTTATTTATGTTGGATAATCTTATTCTTATTTAATTGGCTAAGCTCAATAACTGGTTGTTTAGGATTTATTACTTGTATGTAACTTTTGAGACATAATGTAGTCTTTTATTTTTTTAGGTTTTATTGGATGTGATGTTATACATGAATTGCATCAAGATATCACATGACTGTGAAACGAAGAAATGTTCAATTAACAATGTAAATTAAACAAGTAAATTAACGGAACAAAAACAAAACTCTATTCGAAGAGGCTCACATATAATTATAAGCTAGCAATTAGATCGTGCTAATGGGCACGTAGTATATAGATGCAGTTTAGGAGGGTGTTTGGGTGGGAGGTGTGGTTGGTTTTTAAAAGCTACCACACCTCTTACTGAAAGTGTGTGTGTGTATCTATATATATATATATATATATATATATTTTTTAACCATTTAGATGGTGGTCAGGGGTTTGCTCTCTTTGTGGTCTCAGGTTCGAATCCTTGATTACTCATATGATGACCACTAGAGGCTTACATAGTCGTTAACTTCATCACCCGTGAGATTAGTCGTGGTGCGCGCAAGCTGGCCCAGACACCTACATTAATCTAAAATAAAAAAAAGTATATATTTTTTGTTTTTAGAAAGTGTGGTATGTATTTTAAGAGGATAGTACCTTAAAAAAAAAAAGCTACACATCTCACACTCAAACACTCTCTAGATCAGTCAAATAATCTAAAACTAGTATCAGTGTCAAAACTGGAGTAAACATTAAACAGAAAATATATAGATGCAGTTTAGATCAGTCAAATAATCTCAAACTAGTATCAGAGTCAAAACTGGAGTAAACATTAAACAGAACATTTGATTGGTCTGTAATACATAAACTTGAGTTTGTAAGAAGTTGCCTAAACTTTTCGACAATAATACAAAGGGTGTTTCTTTATGGTTTTTTTAATAATTTCTCAAGAATTGTGTTGCATTGTGTATTTGATTGTTTGTTTTTTAGCCAAAATTCATATACAGAAACGACAAGGTTCAATCAAGTCTTGGAATCTTATAAAACAAATCCCTCTTAACATATTCAGGAAGGAGCGAAACCATCGGGGGAAAATAAAAAACAGAGAGAGAACAGTTTGATCACTGTTAATCTACTTAAATTCAAGCTTTCTTTCAACCTTTCTGCTATACAACTGGACTTGTGAACATAATTGTACAATTGAAAGGATGAAAATCCTCTAAAATTCGGATGTCATCAATCATACATAGTTACATAAAAATTTACACTGAAATCCCTCTAGCTATTGGGACAGTACATTCAGGAGGGAGACTCTAGCATGGATTAAATGCCTAAACAAGCTGTCCAATTCATTTTCAATTTCTTCAATACTAGTATCCAGAATTCCCAGCCTTTTCTGAACAGAATGTATGTCCCGTGCCTCAAAATCTTTACCTGAGTTGGGCACCACTACGCTTGCAAGAGCAGCATCCACACTTTCCAATTCATTCAGGTTCTCCTGTTGGCCTTCGCATGTGACCACACCCTTGTGCACCAATTTTGAAACCAAGTACCATTTACTAGGCCTTGGCTTCAACATTGGCACAGAAAGGAATAACAAGAGTGACCTAAAGATCGAAACTGTGACCAGACATGCTTCTCTAAGCACACTAACAATTGCAGAAAGGAGATGATCACTTGCATTGAACAAAGGAGAGTCTCCGAAAATGTTATCTGCTTGCTTCAATGATGCGAGAGATTTTGCTACTTCCTTTTTCATCTTCTTTCTCGCACAAAAGTAAGCGTTGACATTGCTTTCAATACTTAACTCTACACCTGCTTTACTTCGCCGAAGGGCAGATTGAATATCCCGGATGCTTTCTTTCATCAAGACAGCAGCATCCCTTGTCTTGCCACATACCTCCAAGTACCTCATCAAGTCATCCAGCATGTCGTTCACCAATTTCTCATTTCGATGTTGCAATAGAGCTTGTTGGGTCATTGGCAAGTTGAGAAGATCCTCAATGCATTTGTATGTCTCCCCAAGGCTTGATAGGCGACCGAGAACTGTTTCTGCCTTCAATGAAGTTGGTACCTGCCAAGAACTAATCTTGTTCAATTCTTGTTCAAGTTTGGCTACACTAGGATGTGATCGAGCTGGAAAACTAACCGAACGAACATTGTAAGGAGTAGATTTTGGAGAGAAAGCAGCCATGGTTACTATTTTTAACATTGAAAGGTCAAGTTTTTTAAATAGCTTAACTGTGATATGAGTTATTAGGACTATTTATACTCAACAGAATTTACAAGAACAAGGCTCATGTGAGGGCAGAGTGGGCTTCTCTATGGCATGGGGTTATGTTGTCACATCCTCGGCACCTAAAAATAAAGCAACAAAATCTGGTTGTTGTTATATGGGTACACTGTATCTCACTGTTCTAAATTCCTAGCATTCATTAGGTGTTTCACTTTTTCTCCCTCTTACGCACCGGCATTCCCACCGCCAGTCTAATTTGTCAATGGTTCATTCATGGAAATTGGTGTCATTAAAGAAGTGGTTGGCCACCCCA